TGTGACAAAGAGCAGGGCGTTAGGGATTACTCACCCTAAAACTGTGTGTGTGTGTGTGTGTGTGTGTGTGTGTGTGTGTGTGTGTGTGTGTGTGTGTGTGTGTGTTTTTAATGCTAAAGATCCTCAAAGGTTTGGTTTAAAATACACAGCACCATTAGGTATCAAAACACAGAAGATAAAGCCCCATAGCACAAAAACATTGATGAAAATGAAACCATATCTCATTATATTGTAGTGAAAAAACAAAAAAAGAGAGACAACAACCTACAAGAATAAACTCAAATTCACTACCATTTGCCACACAAAGTCAATCTTTTCAAACATAGTTCTGATCCCTGGTTCACCTTGAGGTCACGGTGCACAATGCCCATGTCGTGGAGGTATTTGACAGCATCCAGGATCTGCTGAATGAGCTTACTGGCATCTTTCTCTGTGTAGAAGCCCTTCTCTATGATACGATCAAAGAGTTCCCCACCAGACACTCTGTATTTTCAATGTGGATAAGAAAGAAGAAAAGAACAGTGAGAGGGGGACTAAAAATAGAAGGGAAGCATGGAAATTTAAAAGTGTAAAAGCGAGATATAAAAAGATAATCCCTGCTAACTCCAGCAAATAAAAATCTTTTATAGTTAGTTATAAACCACTACTTCAGATAAAGTTACTTTCTTACAAACCAGATGGGAAAAAATGCTTTCAGTCTAAAATTATAAACAGTCAGTCAATCTTACAATGTCTGCTTCATATTTTGCCACTAGATGGCAACGTGACTCTATCATAGGAATTTCGAGTACATTATGAATACCTGCACAGGAAATTTAACATCTTACAACGAGCTAAAGAAAGAAAAGAGAAGATGATATGGATGTTTAGACAAGCAGTGCATGGAAAGCTGGGTTGCTGAACTCATTCGGCCAGTGTCCCCGTGTCACTTTACCCACATATTCAGTTCCCTCCATGATACATTCCTATTCCTGCGTACATTTTCACATATATGTGCAGCCTCTGTTTGACACCAGTTGGCAGAGGTAAAATAAAACTGAACAGGATAGTGATGCAGCACAAGATGAAAGAGTGAACAACCACGAATGAGGTAAAACATCTGGATTTCAAGGTCACATCTTCCCTCTTTGCTGCTGTTTTTCATTTCCCTAATTTTACAGTCATTAATAAATTAATAATAATTTTTCTAATCCTCATCTTGCCTTTGTTTTTCCTCTCTCACTCTGACATTTCACTAGTTGAGGTGGGTGGGACACTGACTGGCAACTAGTATGAGGGCAAACTCCCCACTGTTGCTCATGAGTAGGCAAAGTACAGAGTTTTCGTGTGTGTGTGTGTGTGTGTGTGTGTGTGTGTGTGTGTGTGTGTGTGTGTG